TGTTGTTTTTTTGTTTTTGAGAGTGTATTTTCGTCTTCATGTCAACAATGCAAGATAAAATTGTCGGTAAGATCGATCGAGATTCAATTGTATTGAAATTGCCGACCAATTTTTCGCACACGTATGGTATCCTCCATCGCTCAAACCATTTTTTAACATGTAAACCTATGGGGTAACCATGGAGACTGACCTATTTTTTTAATAACCATGGTTATTAAAAATATTGAAATGTTTTAAGCATGGTTACGGGGAATTTTACAGGAACAGTTGAAGTTTATGAATGCAATTCGACCAATCAGATGGCTGGATTTCTTAAGTGAGGTATATAATGCTCACTAGTTTAACACGCATTTTGCCATTGACTTTTCAGAGCGGGCTAAAATATTTGTCCATTGACTTACTGTATAATAATAATAATAATAATACATGAGATTTATATAGCGCCATTATCCATTTTGATAACCTATATCGCCCGCCAAATTACACACAAATCCCATTGACTCTTCTGAGCGGGCTAAAATATTTGCGCATTGACTTACTGTATAACCTATATCGCCCGCCAAATTACACACAAAATCCCATTGACTTTTCTGAGCGGACTAACTTATTGTAATTTTGTTGACTTATCCATCAAACCTTGAGGGCAATAACATTTAAAAATTGCCCTGCTCAGATGTCTGATACGGTTAATAATAGATATTCTCAAGTTTGTTACCGGTTCAATGAAAATAATCACAGTCACATGAACGTTCAATTACACGAACTGCCTACGGTTATCAAACGTGAATGTTGAACATGTGTGTTGAAGCGGCATGCCGAGGGGGTTCGTTTTGCAAACGTTCAGGCGTAGGAAAAGAAAATGTCAAACAACACGGTTAATTCCAGTAATTGAGCTACGGATTTTGGCTTTCTGACATCGCAAGGTGATTTTTTTCTTGTTGAAGAGTATATCCATACCAAGCTAATCATGCTGACAATACAGTGACACAATTTAATCAATAGCCCTATCGATGAAAGGATTTCAGAGCCCCCCAAAAGGTTTTCTGACCTTCCGAGTCATAACTGTGCATGGCCTTTTCGAAAAGACCTGTTGAAAGAAAATTCTGCACGGATAACTGTATTTAAGACTTATCTTGTATTGTTAATCGTGCTCTTAACATTAGTATTCCAGCTACGGTTCTGATTCGATGAATGTAGATGCAATGCTGTAGAAGGTCAGATAGACCTCTTGAATCCCAAAGGAAAAACACAAATAAATCTTTAGACTTTTATGTTGAGAATGCGCTAAGACTGTGGGAGGAGAATCATTGTCCAGTCTGACAGAAAAAATTAGTGCATTGTTTTCATGGTTGTAGCCTACTGTCCTTTTTCATATATATAATCGCATCCCTACACAGAAACAAATATTAAAAAAATACTGTCGCAGCGAAATTTGACCGCGGCTTTCGTGTGCTTGACTTTGAATGTGTTTTTTCTGGTTGAACCTTTCTAACATTGATCACAGTTCGCCCTGAAGCGTATTTGTCTCGGCTGATTATACTAAGAAGCGTACATCCTAGTTAATTCCAGCTGACATTTTACAAGTGCTATCATTTGTTTATAAAAAAAAAACATCCCTCGATAACTATTGAGATAGTAAATAAATATCGACTCTTCTGGTCTTACTAATATCTTCTTTTTTAAAATTCATTATTCAAGATTTGTTTCTATAGAAATATAGAAAACAAGTAACACTTTAAAAGGAATACTCCACGTCTCAGATTCATTTAAATGTGGTTGTGTTCGTTTGTTTGTGTGTTTGTGTTTTCGCTTTTGTTTTTGACCTTTTAACAAATGCACGAATAAAACGTTTTGAAGAATTGAAGATCATCTACAAAACTCTGTTACGCGATAAAGCGATGTTTTTTTTTAGGATGTGCACATGACAATGATAAGAAATAATACCTTTCCAACTAAATGATAAAATACACTAGTAGCTCATGTGAAAGTGTTGAAAAGCTGTTACTAAAATAATTCATCATACAAATTAGAAGAAAACAGACAGCCAAAACAAAAACATAGCCCCTAAGCAGACAAAATATAGAAGAAAAAATACGCATGGGTTTGGCGCCTTTTGAAATCGGCTTATGCCCCCCCCCCCCCGGTTTTGCCGAAAGGCGAGCGTTGTCTAGTCTTCCATATCATTCGTTTATAAAAGAATTTAAGGAATAGAAATTTAAGTCGTTTAAAATAAATTCCAATAATCAAAATAGAAACAGATTAAAAATTAAATAAAACTAGTTTTTACGTAGTCTTGCAGATCAGGCGTAAGGCATAAGAATTAAATCAATAAATAACAAGAAACACAATCAAATAATTAACACCGATATTTAAAAATGTCAAATAAAGGTGTTGAACTAGTCTTGCATATCAGTCGTTTATTTATCAAAATAACAAAAAATAATATCAAATTCTGTCTATGTATGGAATTCAGAAAGCCCCCCCCCCCCCCCTGCTTATCTCGAAAGGGTGCATTAAGGCGGACTTGTCAACGCATCCTGTCGGCAAAACCGGGGGCGGGGCTTTGGACGAATGGTCGCGTTTCAAGCAACGCGACACTCCCGACGCTCCCTTTCGGCACAACCGGTGGGGGGGGGGGGGTGGGGGTGGGGGGAGGGGGAGGGCTTTGGACGAATGGTCGCGTTTAAGTCAATGCGACGCGACGCTACCCTTCCTTTCGGCATAAGCCTTTGAAATCAATGGCGTGACGACACTTATCGCCTATGATGGTCAACATATAAATAACCTATGGTGGAATATAACGTAATACATATGGTTGGAAGAATGTTTAGAAAAGTGGATATACAAATGTTTTTATGTAGTAACTGGGCTTTGAGCTCTAAAAATTATTTAGGATGTAAACCGATTGATTGCATATTCTCGTTTATGTATTTTTGGTTCGCTTTATCTCACCACCCCCCCCCCCCCCCTCCCCCCTATCTGTTGAACGCAATTTATAACTAGACAATTGTTCTTTTATTCTTTTAATTCACAGGATGGCGACAACTATAAATGAAGATGAAAACGGAGTGTCAGTCTACACTGAAAACATGAGTGTCCCAATCAAGGTGCCAGTTTTACCCCGGTGTAGGTGGCCTGCACCACATCCAGACTGGGATGTAGCCTTTGCGGCTTGGGGAAGCACCTGGATGGCACATATTATCATCTTCGTCGTAGCCTATGCCATTCTTGCCATCTATACTTGCTCAGTGCTGTGTTTCCTTGTGTGGAAGCGTTGTAGCTCCGTGCGTGGGACCCATGATGGTATTCTTACAAAGCGGCTGACCAACCTCAGGATCGCTTTGCATTCTCTAGTGTTCGTTGCGTGCTCGGCCAGGACAATGTCTCTTGGAATCGACCCTTACGGGACGAGGAAGATTCTGAAATGTCCAAGTGGCGTGGTTCTTTGGTCACTGGGATGGCCATCATCTGATGAAAAATATAATCAATACATTCATTACTCCTCGCGTCTGCTTTTCTTGGGTTTATGTTATACTTAATATTACAGCACTTCTGTTCAGCGTGCAACATGAGCCTTGCATCCAATAAAAGCATAAATCTACAATATTACAGTCGTTATCAACAAACCTTACTTTATAAACAGTTTTATAAACAATAAATCTATGGTCAACACCAAAAAGTAGCCTGCTCGGCGGCCGGGCCGCGAGTTTTGAGCCAATTTCGCCCGGGCACCGCTTGTTTTTAGGTCATCGCTCGGTCGCTGTTGAAGTTTTAGCGCGGAGTTAAAATTTGGGCGGCGCCTGCTCACTTTCACTCGCCGCCCAAAGTACGCTCGGTGCCAGGGCGGTCACCGCCCGGGCACCGATCTAATCGAGCGTTCGCTGTCGAGCGATTTAGGTCGGAAATCGAAGCCGCTAGGTCAAAGGCTGCCGAGCAGTCGGCGCCTGTTCGCCGGCCAGTCGCCACGGGGAGATCAGTCGGTCACTATAGCCGGCAAGTCCAAAATCGGTCGGCAGCCTTTGACCTGTAAGAAGAACAGAGAAGCAAACGATGTAGGCAAGGAATTTCATCATGGTTTATTTTCTCTCTGTTTCTTCTGCGTATAGATTTAAACCATGTAGACACTCAGACGAAATAACTGGTAGAAAATTACTTGCTCGGATCAATACTTCCTTGGTAAAATCTGTCAAATTAAAATGATATGTTCTTCACCTGCGTCAAGGGTCGATAAGACGAAAAATATATGATTTGCATTTGTCTGGTTAATAATTAGTCAAGACGTAGAGATTATTCTTACATGGTAGGTTCTGAAACACCTGTTGCTTGTTATATATATATATATATATATATATATATATATATATACATATATATCAACATTTATCTTGAGTTGGTATACCGTCTAAGGAAATGTTTCGTTAAAATAGAAAATGTTTTAGGGTTAATGACTCAGTAATCAAACATTCAACAGCACATCCATTATGACAAAGTTCGTTGACATCAAAGTTCACGATGGTAAAATCACACAATCAAGAATCACCTTTCATTGAAACGTTGGGTTTTTAATGAAACTGGGTAGGAAACTAATATAAATTTGTATTTAATCAGCAACTGAAAATAATATATCGAGGATCGCCTTATCTTTCTCTGTCTTTGTCTGTCTCTCTCACTCTGTCTGTATGTCTGTCTTCCCCCCCCCCTCTCTCTGTATGTCTGTCTCTCTCACCCTCTCTGTCCGTCTGTATCTCTGTATGTCTCTCTCTCTCTCTCTCTCTCTCTACCCCCTCTCTCTCTCTTACTCTCTGTCTTTCTCTTTCTCTCTCTCTCTCGCTCTCTCACTCTCTCTCTCTCTCTCTCTCTCTTACACACACACACACTCTCTCTCTCACACACACACTCTCTCTCTCTTCCTCTTATCATTTATACTATTCTTTCCTTCTTGTCTTAGTCACTGCATTAATCATGAAGCATATTTAAAATGAAAATCAAATGACAATGGATAAGATTTTTTCCCTCGTCTATTTCATTCAAACTTTATGCACAGCATGTAAACTGACCTAATAATTAAGTAATACAACGCAATTATACTATTACCCTGCACAGCATGGACAGGGAACGAATATTACCTCGGACAATTATCCCCATGTCATCAATTAGGTTCGATTTTGATACGTATACTTTTGATTAATTATTTTTGAATTAACAATCATAAAACCCATAATATTTGGCGATATATCGAATAATTACACAAGGATAATGTATCATGAATTTCCAACCACACACAGCCGCATATAATGTTATACGCACACATTTATTTTAAGTTGATTTAAATAATCACCCTTTGAGATACTCAAGATCCCAAGCAGGACAAATACACCCAGTGATACGGAGAATGTATGTTACTTTAATGTCCCGAATTTGAAACAAACATTCAATTTCTATTGTAGTTGGAACAAAAAAGGATGAGGATAATTAGTATCATTCGATGGTTTGTTGTTTCTTTTATCTCCTTATAGTAATGTATAAGTGTCTACGCGGTTTAAGCACTTGACTTGAAAATCAAAGGTCGTGATTCGATCCCCGATACGGCACTAATGTCCTTTGGCAAGCATTAATCTTCATTTGCCAAACTCGACCCAGGTGAGGTAAATGGGTACCTGGCGGGAATTAATTCCTTGACATGCTGGAGCGCTGTAATGGCAGCTAAAAGACGAGGAAATAATAAGTGCGCCTCGGAATAGAATTACTAGATAGACGGCGCTTTAGAAATGCCTAGAATTATTACCAATTATTAATTAATTAATTAATGCAATAATGAATTCCGAGAGAGATAGGCGTCTATCAGCAGCTATCCTTGTCATATCTCTTATATCCGTCGTTATAGGTTGGTCTGTAACGTTGGAAGCATTCCGCCCCAGCCTTGTCGCAGGCACACATAGCCATGGCACAGTCTGTGTACTCGTAACCTGCGTCATAGCTGCTTGCATCAGCTAAACAAAGATAGAAAGAAAGGAAATAATTGCAATTCATAGGAGATATTGGTATACTACTCAATTTACTATCCACAACATTCTAAGATAAGTATCCATGAGACAAATCCATAAAATAATATACCCTTGCATTATTTGAGACTAACGAATAGAAATTATTATGGACTAAAAGGCTTGTGTATCCAAATGTGCATACAATAACCACTTATGTATATCATTGAGCTTTTAGTAATAATTTGTATTATAGTTTATTTAGCTTTAATAAACTAAAATACCAAGTGTGTCGTCCTTGACTTAATTTTTCATTCGATTTTCCTTGTTTTCTTTTTCATAAAAATTTCCCAAGTTTTTGCAATGATAGTGACAAAAATCTAGTCTGTTTTGGTTAAGGTGAATCGTAGTCCATTCGCTTCATGTAACATGTAAATATTAACCCGTTGAATACTGAGTTCATTCTTTGCCATATGTTTAAAGGGATCCGGTAACTTTGTCTCAGATTCTGAAAAAAAATTCTGGATTTAGCTCATGATGCAATGATAATTATAAACCTTTAGGCAGAGGCAGCGGAGCGACTTCCAAAGTGGGGGGCACCAACAAAAAAGGGCACTTTCTGGGAAAAAAGGGCACCTACAAAGGGAAATCTCAAAGCGAAAATAAACAATTTTTAGACATTGGTATATACCCCTAAAATTTGATTACATTATCAGGGATGATTTCAATATTTGTTTCTCTTTATACATCGTATAAAATATTGCTTTTAGAGCATCATACCTTGCAGTTGGGTGTGATAGTCGAAAAAATCATGTGCGAGCGAGGAAAAATATAAGATTTGTGAGGTCACAGTGCGAAAAATACATCTTATAAAGGGGAAAAAACCAATCCTCATCGGGTTATAAATAAGCACATTTTCATAACAGCAAACTGAAAAGACCTTTGATAAGTAACATAACTATAACATCTATAAATGTGAGCGAGCGTAGCGAGCGAGCTTTGGGAGATATTGCTCTTAGTCGCTTGAAATTAGGGGCACGTTTAATGATGAGAGGAAAGGGGGACACTTATCGAAGGGATAAGACACTTATTAGAAAATAAAAGGAGCACGTGTCAAAGTACAAAGGGTTATTATCAGAGGTGAAAATGGTGCACTCACCAGGGATGAAAAGGCACTTATGAGAATGGAAATTGGGCATTTGTCGACGGAAAAGAGGCAACCATCAGATTGTAATAGGGGCATTTATGAAAAAGGGATAAGTTCCTCATAAGAAAGGAAAAGGGGCACGTATCATTGTTAAAAAATGTTAATTATCAGAGGTGAAAAGGGGCACTTATCGCACCTGAAAAGGGGCAAACACCATATATGAAAGAGGCACTTATGAGAATGAAAGAGGGGCACTAATAATAAAGGGAAATGTGCATTTGTTGAATAAAAAAGGAACACCGATCAGATTTTGATAGGGGCATTTATTGGAGGTGAAAGGGGGCTTTTATGAAAAGCGGAAATTATGAAGGAAAAAGAGCATTTATTAGGAAGGAAAAGGGGCACGTGTCAAAATAAAAGGGGGTGTTATTAGAGATGAAAAGAGCACTTATCAGGAGGAAAAGGGGGCACTTGTCAAAATAAAACGATTGTCTCTCAGAATTGAATAGGGTCATTTACCAGACATGAAAAGGAGCACTAGTAGGAGAATGAAAAAGGACTATTTTCATAGGTGAAAAGGGGCATTTATGAAAAGGCGAAGGCCTCTTTGTTAAATGGGGGCACTTATCATAAGGAAAAGGGGCACTTATTAGAAATGAAAGGGGGCACATGTGAAAATATAAGGTGCGCTTATCCGAGTTAAAAAGAGGTAGTTATTAAAAGGGAAAGGGGCACTTCTTACAAAGGAAAAGGGGCAATTGTCAAAGTAAAAGGGGCACCTCTAAGATTTGAATGGGGCAATTATCAGAGGTGAAGGAGGCGCTTAACAAAAGAGAAAAGGGGCGCGTCTCGTATCCGAAAAGGGGCACTTACTAGAGATTAAAAAGGGCACTTATGAGAATGGAAAATAGACACTTATTGCAAAGGAAACTGGGAACTTGTCTGGGAAAAGAGGTACGTGTCAAAATAAAAGGGGCACATATCAGAGGTGGAAAGGAGAGGGGGCACTTTTAAAAATTAACAGGGGCACATATCAAAGTAATAGGGGCACTTTTTATGTAAAAAGGGGCCCTTCTTACAAAGTTAAAGGGGCACTTTTCCCATGGAAAAAGGGGCACTTTTTGGGTACTTGAAAAAGTGGGGGGGGGGCACTGTGCCCCCCCCCCCTGCCCCCCCCCCCCCGGTTCCGCCGCCTCTGCCTTTAGGTCAGTCAGGAACCCCATGACTTTTACAAGCCGATCGCCTGTCTGATTATCAAGATATTTATGATTGGAATTACAAATTTTGAAAACCGTTCGCCTGACGGTTTTCATAACACTACAGCCTATTGGGGAAAACGAGTATGGTAAAAACCGGTCACTCAAAGATTTTTACTTTTTTGAGGCACTTCTTGATCATTTTGAAGCGCAATTTTTTTAGGGCTTCAATATTACAACATATCACAGACACTGATAACACGTAGGGCCGTGTATCTCAGATTTAACATTGTTAAACGATCCCTTTAATACATGGACCCACAGGTTCCAGTAGGCAATGGGTCAAAGTCAAAACATATTACACAAACTTACAGCAAACGATTCGTGCACTATCGGTTCCACATTGCAATGCGTTGTAGTTATATGAAATGACGTAGGCTTGGTCGGTACTCCGGCACATATCACTGTTCTGTACGACTGAGTAGCAGTCATCGTGGGTCTGACAACACCTGACAAAGCAACAATTCATTATATCAACGATAAGTAATTCAACGCAGCAGTCATTATGGCCCGAATTCAAAAAGGGAGTTTGTCGACAAACCTAGGTTTATATGCGTCATATGATGCGTTTCGACGCGTTTCGAGAACAAACGCGTAAACCTTTATTTGAAACGCGTCGAAACGCGTCAGATGACGCGCATAAACCTAGGTTTGTCGACAAACCTTATTTGTGAATTCGGGCCAATGAGCCTGACAACGTTTTAAATGAGAACGATTCTATTCTTACTGCTTTGTGTATCCGTTTTCATAGGTTCGACAACATGTTAAATTAGAACAATTCATTCTATCACTGACTTGGAGTATTAAGGGCCTTTGTTCACACATGTTTCAGAATATCATTATGTAGCTGAATGAGGGAATGAATTGAATATCCTTAATCATAGGCCTTTATCCTTTAAAGCAAACTCAACAGATATTGAGCACCAAAAGTAGGGAACATTGTGAGCCTTCCCGTTCAATAGAAAAAAAATCCGATTAGTTTAAATTCAGATAATTATAGTCTTGCCACTGTTGTGATGCTCACTATATGGTCCGCATTCGATTAAACCGTTTCACCGAATAGAAGGCCTACACATCACAGTTCTCATCTGGACACTACTATTCCACTATTTACTACCTTAAGCAGAGTTGTAAATGAGAACAGACAGATGATTCTTAGAATTGAGTTTATTTATAAGGTTTAAGATTGAACAATGTGATGAGAAGTCCTGAAAAAACTATCGGATTTGAGAAAAGATGAATTAGTAAAGAGAGAGGAAGGGAGAAGTATTCTTGTCATCCTACTTGGTATTGCTGAGAGAGAAGTAGAACACTTAAGAAAGAGAGTTAAAGAGAGTTAATCTGTCGTGTGTACTCACACACGACAGAATAACTCTCTGAAAAGGACTAGTAAACCGGATCATTAATACAGAAAGAGAGTGAGAGGGAGAGATAGTGAGAGAGAAATGAGTTTTCATCATCGAATTAGGAAAATGTCGTCACTTCTTCAAATCTTCACATCTTCAGATCAGATGTCGAGCAAGATGTCTTCAGACTTACCTATCGGTATCATCAAGAGGTACACCCTGACCTCCGAAGCCACAGTAACAACCGTATCCATTGTAGTCTAGACCAGCCTCTACAGTACTTATGTCTAGAAGACATCCCATCATTACGCCAAACTGAGCAACGCTGCTTGTCTGGGGCATCGTCATACAACCTGCAAACAACCGAAACATTTCTAATTATTCTTCAACTGCATTTCTTTTTCATCATCGTTAACTAATTATCATCAATTTTGTTCTTCTTCTGCATGTGAGAATGCGTGTGTGATCATCTAATAACTATATTTGAATTTATTTCAATCGATTTTGTTGATTCCGATTGATTTTTGCTTTTTTCTTCATTTACCTGGATGCTAAGAAAGCATGTGTATGCATGTGAAAAGCAACAGGGTGACTGATGACATTAAGTCCTCTCCGAGGGAGTTGATAATGAGGATCAATGCCTTCCCATAGAGCACTGGCAGATCGACTTAATTTCGAATCCGGGACCTCCCAGTTACGTGACCACTGCTCCACCACTGAGCCATCGCGCCTTCTCCTTTGATTCTTCCAGTAATTGATACTTTAAAAAAAAAAAACTTAAACACAAAGGGGAAATAAGTGTAAGACCATTTCCAATGATGCCTGGGCCGTCTTTAATTCACTATACGAATTAATGGTAAGTTATGTTATCTAAGCCGAAAAACTGAGTAAAATACTTTAAAAGGTAGAATTTTATTCGATGTTGTTACACTCAATAAATCAAGGCTCATTCTCATGACAAATGCAATAACAATACCCTTTTTATCGTCAACTGCCATGCGTAGCAAACGATCATCAAAGATTCACTGACCGCACAAAGCAATAATTATGATCATATGAGAATATTAAGAGATATTTAAGTAATGGACTACCTCATATAGTGAACCTAACTCCAGGAAATAATGTTAGTTTTTCAGAGAGTTTTATTGCATTATTGCATAATAATATACAAGATTCACCAGTAATGTTTATGAGAAAGGAATAAAGCAAAATATTATTAGCGTAATGTAAAGGTTTCTCTAATTTCAAGATATTTTTTAACTGGCTCACAATTTTAAATAGGACTTTCAGCTAAAATGTGTTGGGTGTCAGTTTCCTTTTTTTTTATAGAAGGAAATGAAGTAAAGACACAGCTGTTTTCATACTCAAACAGATCCACAAAAATTGCTTAAATTATGTAATTATATTCTAGACCCGGGGCCATATTTGTGCTTGTGACACCACTTTTGTCAGATTTTTATGATATGAATAATGATAAATAAAATGCAGCAAAATATTGTGGTCAAAGTATGAAATAGTGGAGTATAAAAAGAGTTCGTGACATTACCTGTAACAAGAACGGCAAAGCAAGCGAAGTAAGCAAGGGACTTCATGGTGTACACGTAGTTTCCTTAGATGTCACCTTTCTTTAGGATTAATTAAAATAATAACAATTTTACGATTGATCACAGCTTTGTACTACTCGACCAGAACCTTCAAGGAGTTTAGAATGAGTAAATTTAAACTATAATACACACAAGGACATAAAACTGATATATATATATATATGACGTAATAATTAGAACCGGAAAGGAGGATTTGCGTCAATTAGATGGTTAATGATTATTTTAATCGAAGGGGTTATTATCCTCGAGGTTCAAGGTAATGGTAGGTAGGGAACATCTGTTCTAAACAATTAAAAACTACGATAAGGACGTATCTAATCTCAAGATATGGTACGGATTACGGTACGGTACGGTACGGAACGGTACGGAAAAAATGTATTAATGTATCAATTGTTATCTATGCTGAGTGCAAACAAAGTCTGCAATTTAGTCATTCAGACGCGAATGATTTCTATCAATAAACCGTTTCAAATGAATCAAGAAAGAAAGAAAGCGACTAACTTTCAGACACGTTTGGAATGAAATAAAACAGTTTGTCTTTTATTCTTATTCATTACAAAAACAATTCTGCCAATGTTTAGAAATATTTGCGAATGAATAGGATGAACAAATATAATAGTTTACTAAAGATATTAGAATACTGAATAAGCCGTACTCAATAGCAAAGCTAAATGCAATTAAGAAATTATCTCACTGACACTTATTCAGTGAAAACTTGAACTTGAAGGACAAAATATATATGACTTATCGATCTCTGTTCTATCTACACACGCTCTCCAGTCTCTTCATTCAATTATCATTGGAACATAAAGGCATGGCGGTCACTCTAGACAAATAATTGAAACAAATGAAAACAAGATATGCAAATGTATTAAACAATTTAATATGTACAACTGAATACAAATAAATACGACTGTGTACAAATCTATTACTTTTATCCTCATTTAGCTGTTAAATAAAGATAAATTTATCCTCATTTAGCTGTTAAATGAAGATAAATTTATCCTCATTTAGCTGTTAAATGAAGATAAATTTATCCTCATTTAGCTGTTAAATGAAGATAAATTTATCCTCATTTAGCTGTTAAATGAAGATAAATTTATCTTCATTTAGCTGTTAAATGAAGATAAATTTATCCTCATTTAGCTGTTAAATGAAGATAAATTTATCCTCATTTAGCTGTTAAATGAAGATAAATTTATCCTCATTTAGCTGTTAAATGAAGATAAATTTATCTCGATTATTTTTACCTCAAGTTTGATTCAACACATCACTTAGGATGGGGGCGGGATGTCAATGATTTTGGGCACTTTGCCGTCTACAGCTAAAATAAGAATTTCAAAAATCTGAAAGTTGTTCGGGCTGACTTGAATGTGTACGACCTTAAGATTTAGACAAAATTATCAAACTTTCGTTATAAGTTAGAAGAAGATTTATCATTAAAACTGTGACCTTGGTTTATATAATTATCAGTATTTTGTCCTTCAAGTTCAAGTTTTCACTGAATAAGTGTCAGTGAGATAATTTCTTAATTGCATTTAGCTTTGCTATTGAGTACGGCTTATTCAGTATTCTAATATCTTTAGTAAACTATTATATTTGTTCATCCTATTCATTCGCAAATATTTCTAAACATTGGCAGAATTGTTTTTTTAATTAATAAGAGTAAAAGACAAACTGTTTTATTTCATTCCAAACGTTTCTGAAAGTTAGTCCCTTTCTTTCTTTCTTTATTCATTTGAAACGGTTTATTGATAGAAATCATTCGCGTCTGAATGACTAAATTGCAGACTTTGTTTGCACTCAGTATAGATAACAATTGATACATTAATACATTTTTTCCGTACCGTACCGTACCGTACCGTAATCCGTACCATATCTTGAGATTAGATACGTCCTTAGCGTAGTTTTTAATTGTTTAGAACAGATGTTCCCTACCCACCATTACCTTGAACCTCGAGGATAATAACCCCTTCGATTAATATAATCATTAACCATCTAATTGACGCAAATCCTCTATTTTCCGGTTCTAATTATTACGTCATATATATATATATATATATATATATATCAGTTTTATGTCCTTGTGTGTATTATAGTTTAAATTTACTCATTCTAAACTCCTTGAAGGTACTGGTCGAGTAGTACAAAGCTGTGATCAATCGTAAAATTGTTATTATTTTAATTAATCCCAAAGAAAAGTGACATCTAAGGAAACTACGTGTACACCATGAAGTCCCTTGCTTACTTCGCTTGCTTTGCCGTTCTTGTTACAGGTAATGTCACGAACTCTTTTTATACTCCACTATTTCATACTTTGACCACAATATTTTGCTGCATTTTATTTATCATTATTCATATCATAACAATCTGACAAAGTTGGTGTCACAAGCACAAATATGGCCCTGGGTCTAGAATATAATTACATAATTTAAGCAATTTTGTGGATCTGTTTGAGTATGAAAACAGCTGTGTCTTTACTTCATTTCCTTCTATAAAAAAAAAGGAAACTGACACCCAACACATTTTAGCTGAAAGTCCTATTAAAAATTGTGAGCCAGTTAAAAAATATCTTGAAATTAGAGAAACCTTTACATTACGCTAATAATATTTTGCTTTATTCCTTTCTCATAAACATTACTGGTGAATCTTGTATATTATTATGCAATAATGCAATAAAACTCTCTGAAAAACTAACATTATTTCCTGGAGTTAGGTTCACTATGAGGTAGTCCATTACTTAAATATCTCTTAATATTCTCATATGATCATAATTATTGCTTTGTGCAGTCAGTGAATCTTTGATGATCGTTTGCTACGCCTGGCAGTTGACGATAAAAAAGGGTATTGTTATTGCATTTGTCATGAGAATGAGCCTTGATTTATTGAGTGTAACAACATCGAATAAAATTCTACCTTTTAAAGTATTTTACTCAGTTTTTCGGCTTAGATAACATAACTTACCCTTAATTCGTATAGTGAATTAAAGACGGCCCAGGCATCATTGGAAATGGTCTTACACTTATTTCCCCTTTGTGTTTAAGTTTTTTTTTTTTGTAAGTATCACTTACTGGAAGAATCAAAGGAGAAGGCGCGATGGCTCAGTGGTGGAGCAGTGGTCACGTAACTGGGAGGTCCCGGGTTCGAAATTAAGTCGATCTGCCAGTGCTCTATGGGAAGGCATTGATCCTCATTATCAACTCCCTCGGAGAGGACTTAATGTCGTCAGTCACCCTGTTGCTTTTCACATGCATACACATGCTTTCTTAGCATCCAGGTAAATGAAGAAAAAAGCAAAAAACAATCGGAATCAACAAAATCGATTGAAATAAATTCAAATATAGTTATTAGATGATCACACACGCACCCTCACATGCAGAAGAAGAACAAAATTGATGATAATTAGTTAACGATGATGAAAAAGAAATGCAGTTGAAGAATAATTAGAAATGTTTCGGTTGTTTGCAGGTTGTATGACGATGCCCCAGACAAGCAGCGTTGCTCAGTTTGGCGTAATGATGGGATGTCTTCTAGACATAAGTACTGTAGAGGCTGGTCTAGACTACAATGGATACGGTTGTTACTGTGGCTACGGAGGTCAGGGTGTACCTCTTGATGATACCGATAGGTAAGTCTGAAGACATCTTGCTCGACATCTGATCTGAAGATGTGAAGATTTGAAGAAGTGACGATATTTTCCTAATTCGATGATGAAAACTCATTTCTCTCTCACTATCTCTCCCTCTCACTCTCTTTCTGTATTAATGATCCGGTTTACTAGTCCTTTTCAGAGAGTTATTCTGTCGTGTGTGAGTACACACGACAGATTAACTCTCTTTAACTCTCTTTCTTAAGTGTTCTACTTCTCTCTCAGCAATACCAAGTAGGATGACAAGAAAACTTCTCCCTTCCTCTCTCTTTACTAATTCATCTTTTTTCAAATCCGATAGTTTTTTCAGGACTTCTCATCACATTGTTCAATCTTAAACCTTATAAATAAACTCAATTCTAAGAATCATCTGTCTGTTCTCATTTACAACTCTGCTTAAGGTAGTAAATAGTGGAATAGTAGTGTCCAGATGAGAACTGTGATGTGTAGGCCTTCTATTCGGTGAAACGGTTTAATCGAATGCGGACCATATAGTGAGCATCACAACAGTGGCAAGACTATAATTATCTGAATTTAAACTAATCGGATTTTTTTTTATTGAACGGGAATGCTCACAATGTTCCCTACTTTTGGTGCTCAATATCTGTTGAGTTTGCTTTAAAGGATAAAGGCCTATGATTAAGGATATTCAATTCATTCCCTCATTCAGCTACATAATGATATTCTGAAACATGTGTGAACAAAGGCCCTTAATACTCCAAGTCAGTGATAGAATGAATTGTTCTAATTTAACATGTTGTCGAACCTATGAAAACGGATACACAAAGCAGTAAGAATAGAATCGTTCTCATTTAAAACGTTGTCAGGCTCATTGGCCCGAATTCACAAATAAGGTTTGTCGACAAACCTAGGTTTATGCGCGTCATCTGACGCGTTTCGACGCGTTTCAAATAAAGGTTTACGCGTTTGTTCTCGAAACACGTCGAAACGCATCATAATGACGCATATAAACCCAGGTTTGTCGACAAACTCCCTTTTTGAATTCGGGCCATAATGACTGCTGCGTTGAATTACTGATCATTGATATAATGAATTGTTGCTTTGTCAGGTGTTGTCAGACCCACGATGACTGCTACTCAGTCGTACAGAACAGTGATATGTGCCGGAGTACCGACCAAGCCTACGTCATTTCATATAACTACAACGCATTGCAATGTGGAACCTATAGTGCACGAATCGTTTGCTGTAAGTTTGTGTAATATGTTTTGACTTTGACCCATTGCCTACTGGAACCTGATATGGCAAAGAATGAACTCAGTATTCAACGGGTTAATATTTACATGTTACATGAAGCGAATGGACTACGATTCACCTTAACCAAAACAGACTAGATTTTTGTCACTATCATTGCAAAAACTTGGGAAATTTTTATGAAAAAGAAAACAAGGAAAATCGAATGAAAAATTAAGTCAAGGACGACACACTTGGTATTTTAGTTTATTAAAGCTAAATAAACTATAATACAAATTATTACAAAAAGCTCAATGATATACATAAGTGGTTATTGTATGCACATTTGGATACACAAGCCTTTTAGTCCATAATAATTTCTATTTGTTAGTCTCAAATAATGCAAGGGTATATTATTTTATGGATTTGTCTCATGGATACTTATCTTAGAATGTTGTGGATAGTAAATTGAGTAGTATTCCAATATCTCCTATGAATTGCAATTATTTCCTTTCTTTCTATCTTTGTTTAGCTGATGCAAGCAGCTATGACGCAGATTACGAGTACACAGACTGTGCCATGGCTATGTGTGCCTGCGACAAGGCTGGGGCGGAATGCTTCCAACGTTACAGACCAACCTATAACGACGGATATAAGAGCTATGACAAGGATAGCTGCTGATAGACGCGTGTATATCTCTCGGAATTCATTATTGCATTAATTAATTAATAATTGGTAATAATTCTAGGCATTTCTATAGCGCCGTCTATCTAGTAATTCTATTCCGAGGCGCACTTATTATTTCCTCGTCTTTTAGCTGCCATTACAGCGCTCCAGCATTTCAAGAAATTAATTCCCGCAAGGTACCCATTTACCTCACCTGGGTCGAGTTTGGCAAATGAAGATTAATGCTTGCCAAAGGACATTAGTGCCGTATCGGGGATCGAATCACGACCTTTGAATTTCAAGTCAAGTGCTTAAACCGCGTAGACACTTCTACATTACTATAAGGAGATAAAAGAAACAACAAACCATCGAATGATACTAATTATCCTCATCCTTTTTTGTTCCAACTACAATAGAAATTGAATGTTTGTTTCAAATTCGGGACATTAAAGTAACATACATTCTCCGTATCACTGGGTGTATTTGTCCTGTTTGGGATCTTGAGTATCTGAAAGGGTGATTATTTAAATCAACTTAAAATAAATGTGTGCGTATAACATTATATGCGGCTGTGTGTGGTTGGAAATTCATGATACATTATCCTTGTGTAATTATTCGATATATCGCCAAATATTATGGGTTTTATGATTGTTAATTCAAAAATAATTAATCAAAAGTATACGTATCAAAATCGAACTTAATTGATGACATGGGGATAATTGTCCGAGGTAATATTCGTTCCCTGTCCATGCTGTGCAGGGTAATAGTATAATTGCGTTTTATTACCCAACTATTAGGTCAGTTTACATGCTGTGCATAAAGTTTGAATGAAATAGACGAGGGAAAAAATCTTATCCATTGTCATTTGATTTTCATTTTAAATATGCTTCATGATTAATGCAGTGACTAAGACAAGAAGGAAAGAATAGTATAAATGATAAGAGGGAGAGAGAGAGAGACAGAGAGAGACAGAGAGGGCGAGAGAGAGAGAGAGAGAGAGAGAAAGACAGAGAGTAAGAGAGAGAGAGAGAGAGAAAGACAGAGAGTAAGAGAGAGAGAGAGAAAGAGAAAGACAGAGAGAAGAGAGAGAGGGGGAGAGAGAGAGAGAGAGAGAGACATACAGAGATACAGACGGACAGAGAGGGTGAGAGAGACAGACATACAGAGAGAGGGGGGAAGACAGACATACAGACAGAGTGAGAGAGACAGACAAAGACAGAGAAAGATAAGGCGATCCTCGATATATTATTTTCAGTTGCTGATTAAATACAAATTTATATCAGTTTCCTACCCAGTTTCATTAATAACCCGACGTTTCAATGAAAGGTGATTCTTGATTGTGTGATTTTACCATCGTGAACTTTGATGTCAACAAACTTTGTCATAATGGATGTGCTGTTGAATGTTTGATTACTGAGTCATTTACCCTAAAACATTTTCTATTTTTAACAAAACATTTCCTTAGACGGTATACCAACTCAAGATAAATGTTGATATATATGTATATATATATATATATAACAAGCAACAGGTGTTTCAGAACCCACCATGTAAGAATAATCTCTTCGTCTTGTCTAATTATTAACCAGACAAATACAAATCATATATTTTTCTCCGTTGATTGACAAGTGTTTCGTCTTATCGACCCTTGACGCAGGTGAAGAACATATCATTTTAATTTGACACATTTTACCAAGGAAGTATTGATCCAAGCAAGTAATTTTCTACCAGTTATTTCGTCTGAGTGTCTACATGGTTTAAATCTATACGCAGAAGAAACAGAGAGAAAATAAACCATGATGAAATTCCTTGCCTACATCGTTTGCTTCTCTGTTCTCCTTACAGGTAAGTTCATCCCATCTCTTACTTATTTTAATCCATTTAAACGTATTGATTGTATTACTCATGAAATGTGCATGCTCGATGAGAATATGATTTGTTGCGATGCAGGAGTTGAAGGCTAGGAGTCGGAGCGTTACAACTTTGCAAGTTATTTAATATTTAGAAAGCACAAATAGCAGAGAGAGCACAATACTGCTGGAAAAAAAAAATATCATCAAGATATTTTGGTGCCCCCAATCCCTTACCTTGTTCATGAGGAATATTCGATCCTTTTTTTTTTTAGCTCCAAAAATTATTGATAAGCCAAACAAATAAAAAAAAGTAATCAAATAAAAGGGATCAGTAAAATTGATTATTTTACTTGTGTACTAAAACGTATGCCACTCGGCTTTCAAAAGGGGCGCTAGGCCCGAGAGTGCCCCCTCAATGAAGAAAAAATCCGCTAGTAGAGTTGGATCTGATAACCTTGTAGAGGAATTAAGAAAAAAAATGCAAAGGCAGAAGCAAGTCTAAACCAACTTAACATGACCAATTAGTAATTTAAACCAATTACTTATTGAGGAATACTCTTCTATCTCCCAGGTTGCAGGTGTATTCCTCACACAACGCACTTGGGTCAATTTGGAATGATGCAAAAATGCCTACTTGGAAAGAGTGTAATCGAAGTTAGTCTTGATTATATCGGCTATGGCTGTTATTGTGGCTTTGGTGGTGACGGTGTTCCTCTGGATGATACAGATAGGTAAGTCAAAGATAGTGATAGTGGTGGTGGTTATTTTACCTGACAGCTAAGAAAGCAATAAATGCTTGTTAGTAAGCAACCAGAAGACCGACGGCTTAAGGTCCTCTCCGAGGGACCTGGTAATGAGGATAAATGCCTTACCAAAAGGCACTAGCGCATCGACTTGGTTTCGAACCCGGGTCACCGGATAACGAGACCAATGATCTACCAACTGAGATATCGCGCCTCCTCGACTCGACTTTTTTTTTATCGAGATAGCAGATATGTTCGCCCGGGACCATGATAGTTTTAAATTATAAGTTTGCGAAACCTTGAAGTTACAAACACGATCCTCTCACAACCACGGAGGTTCAAGCGGAACTGAACAACGACTTTCCAAAGATTTTTCAATGTTTTAAACCACAAGCCGGAAGAGCAGTCATTTTAAAACCTCGAAGTTTATTGAGTCCGCACGACATCCCGCTGCACATACATGTAGCAATCGCGCTACCCCAAAGTAGTACAACTTTGGGCAAATTTCGAACCATCTAACTGTTACCCAACTAAATTTACCCTAGTTTTTTAACGTGTTCAATCTTTCATTGCTCAATTTATGATAGGAAAATTATTATTTTAAATCGACATTAATATGTCATCATACCTTAAGGATATAGGGTTTCCTGCGTCATAAAACATAAACCTGTCTTAAGCTATGGTCACAATTCAGAACGGCGACCGACCGATTAGTAGCCTGCTCGGTCGCCGCTGGAATTTAGGCATCGCCCAATGATTTTTTTTTTGAGAAATCGATCAGGCTGTAGAGCCCCAGCGATGCATGGGCGGTGCCCTGTCGATTTCCCGTCAGTCGCCGGTCGATTTTAGGTAAAAACTGGCCGAAATCGGAGAGCTTCTCCGGGCGGCGTCCCGGCAGTGACCGACAGATGACCCACCGATTCCCGAGCGGTCTCCCACCGGCCACCGGCTAATTGTAAAGAAATTGCCCGGCGACCGGCCGGTGATCGGCAGTGCGCCAAAATACGCTCGGCGCCCGGGCGTTTGCCGCCCGGGCACCGACTTAATCGAGCGTTCGCCGTCGAGCGATTTGGGTCAAAAGTCGAAGCCGCTTGGTCAAAGGCTGCCGAATGATTTGGGACTCGCCGGCTAGTGACCGACTGATCTCCTCGTGGCGACTGGCCGGCGACCAGGCGGCGACTGCTCGGCAGCATTTGATCTAGCTTTTTCGATTTCCGACCTAAAGTGACTCTCACACTCTGCCGTGTAGGCCTACCGTGTGCCACCGTGCGCGAAAATGTCTGCGGACGGTGGAGAACGGCGAGGGCACACGGTGGTTCGTTATCAAAGCGGGCAACACGTTAATAGGGCGTTGGCGCTTATTTACACCCGGTGGGACCTTGCGAAAGTTTTGGGCATGTTCAAAACTTTGGCCGGCTGGCACCGGCCGCAAGTAAGCAGCAAGAGGACGGTGTTGAACGGTATGAGGACGGTATGAATACGTTATGAAAACGGTCACACTGTATGAACACGTTCACAACACGCTCATAACCCGTTACAGAACGGTGATGAAAAATGGAGAGCGGACTGACCGTTGCCGTTCAAATCGGGGTATTTATTGCAGTCGTGTCATGACGTCAGGAGTCTGGGGAATCGCTCACAGGACGCTCCGAGCGGTGAGGGGACGCTAAGTGACTGGTAGGTGGCTGCTACAAACCCGGTGCACACGTTCGAGACCCGGTATGGGCCCGGTATGGAAACGGCCAAAATTTTCAACAAAAGTCAATCTGGGCGGTGAAGACGGTAGAAGCACGTTCAACACCCGGTATGCGCCCGGTGAGAACGGTCAGAAGATGGCAACGAAACGGTGAAAAGATTAATTTTATGAATTTTCTTTTGCGGCCGGGGACAAGTTCGCTCAAAACCCAACGTTCTGGACTCTGTTGTTTTTTTAATAGCCCGGCAGGTGGACGGTAGGCCTACACGGCAGAGTGTGAGAGCTCCATAAATCGCTCGACGGCGAACGCTCGATTAGATCGGTGCCCGGGCGGTGACCGCCCTGGCACCGAGCGTACTTTGGGCGGCGAGTGAAAGTGAGCAGGCGCCGCCCAAATTTTAACTCCGCGCTAAAACTTCAGCAGCGACCCGAGCGATGCCCTAAAAACAAGCGGTGCCCGGGCGAAATTGGCTCAAAACTCGCCGCCCGGCCGCCGAGCAGGCTACTTTTTGGTGTTGACCATAGATTTACCAGAACTTCTGTAATATCATCACATATCAGTAGTCCGTATGGTTGTTTATAAAACTGTTTATAAAATAAGGTTTGTTGATAACGACTGTAATATTGTAGTTTGATGCTTTTATTGGATGCAAGGCTCATGTTGCACGCTGAACAAATGTGTATTCTCAAGTAAAAAGTGTATTCTTAACCAAAAAGAAGCTGCCGAGTGGAGTATTGATTGTATTGATTATGGTTTTATCAGATGTTGTGAAGTCCATGATGACTGCTACACAGTCGTGCAAACCAGTGGCATGTGCCGTGGCTACAATCATGCTTACATCATTCCCTACAACTATAAAGCCTTCCAATGTGGCACATACCGGGCGGTGATTACCTGCTGTAAGCTTCATATACATTCTTATTTCTATTCTTCTCTAAAACAATTTTGGGACACTTTTTGAATTGATCACCAAAGCTGTTTATCTCGTATAGGAACTCAGTGTTATATGCTCTGGCTCCTAATGGTTAGGAGCCATGCAGGGCATATAAAAACTGAGTTCCTATAGGAAATCTTTTCATTCAGATGGTCATCTCGGCCAATACTTAACATATTCAATTGGTTTTCGACCTTTGGACATAATCTTTGATGCTCTTTCGGAAAATGAAGAAAAATTGAGAAATTCTAAAGATAGATTTTTATTACATCACAGCTTTGGTATTTTTATCTCATCTCATCATATCGTTGATGCGTGATGATCAATAAAAAATAAAATAAATAAAATAAAAAATAAAGGGTATTCATTTCTCCTAGAGATGTTGGGATTAAGTAAAAATGCCATTTGGCATCTTACATGAATAACATTGTGATACAATTAATTGAAGACTCGGAACGGTAAACAAAAACAAGATCAGAAATCTCAAATTGCTTTACAATTATTAGTTTATTCATTATTGGTGCTTTATGATTTCAAAAAATGCATATCAATATTATAATAGATGTATCTGATTGACATTGCCAGTAATAAAGAATAACAATAAATCGAAATCAATAATGGGTTTTGTGATTTACTGATTCGGGAAGATTGTAATATACCCTCCTCAATTAATGGATCTATAATATAATAAAATAAATATCAATTCTAACCATATTCAAATTTACAAGGTATGGCCCATAGCTTATATTCATTAACGTTCGCCATGCCTTGAGTTATAGCCGTGAATATATGGCAATAGTTAGGAAACTCAATGCCCACAAAATGGATAGCTATAGTTTTAAACAAACCAATCAATGCGTTAAGGGTCAGGTTGGAAAATTTTATTGTAATTTTTAAACCCTGTCGCTAGGAACACCCAGTGATAAATTATATCGATGAATACAAATTTTATAAAAAGAGAAATGATGTTATTCTGAGGTAATAAACACATTAATATAACTCTTTATTTCATATAACTGTTGATACCAACTAATTTTCATATTCAATATAATAAAAAATACAGTGCGTCCCAGAAAAAACGAAACCGAGAATTATCGATGTTTTATCATAACTTAATCACAATTATAATGAATAAATGACACATATTTGTAAAACTTAGATCCTCTTTTTTCATTTGATGCAACTCATATGATATATTTCATGCATGAGTGATAAAGAACAATTTGAAGAGGGGGTACTAAAAAGTCATTTGGCGGAAGGTATCTGAATTTCAAAGGAAAAATCACATTTCTAGAAAGTTCATTTTCTGTTCTCTCATATGACACCTCAATCAAGAAAAATGATCCAGGATTAACAAAGTTCTGTTGGTTTAAAGTAATTCTTGCATTTCCATAATTCGATTAAACGAATTTGTTTTCACTGGCTGCCTGCCGTAGCAACAAACAGAGTTGACAAAAGACTCCATTTCGTTGACGACCATATATGCATCATATGAGTTGCATCAAATGAAAGAGGATGATCTAAGCTTTACAAATATGTTTCATTTATTAATTATAATTGTGATTAAGTGATGTTAAAATATCGATAATTCTCGGTTTCTTTTTTTCTGGGACGCACTGTATAATATGATATAGTAACTAAAGTTGCAGCTAATTTGGCAAGATATTTGTAGGATGTGGCTTCGTAATAATGATGTTATCTCTTCAGGGTTCCATTTCAACAATAAAATAGAGAGATTGGATTAAACTCCACCCTCTGTACACTTAATAGATGTTGGTTGCTTTAAACCTTGTAGATACAATTAGAAGGAAAACATGTTTGGCCGATTATCTCATATTATTTTTTGTTTTAGATTTCATGGTGTCGTATCATCAATATAGATACACAAAGCATCCCAATTCACTGATCACTTGTCACAGTAATAGGAATTAATAAAGTCCATTTATTCTATCTTTGTTTAGTGGATGCAAGCAGCTATGACGCAGATTACAAGTACACTGACTGTGCCATGGCTATGTGTGCCTGCGACAAGGCTGGGGCGGAATGCTTCCAAAGTACTAGACCAACGTTCAACCAAGACTACATCAGATATAAACAAATAAGATGTTAAAGCCCCACTGCACTACTTACAGCTACTTGCGCCCTCTATATAGCAAACAATGCCTAATCGGTAACCATGGGTCCCACATGGTCCTCTTTTTCTTATGATAATTGGGAACTGATTTAATGAGATAATCACGGGTGAAGGTCTAATCCTTCCTGGCCAAACTAGAGCAGTGGGGCTTTAATTCGTTCCATCTGCAGGTCGATCACTTCTCTTTGAAAGAGAAATCCATTGCACTACTATAATCCCCTGATTCTCAATGCATAAAAAATGTTATGATATTATATGCAGTTGAGTATCAACCGTATGCAGTTCATCACAAGATGCAAATTCTATTCAAGATATTCGTTTCAAAGCCATGACGTCAATTTACCCTTATTCCTGCAGGTGTAGAGTTATTAAGCAGAAGTGGTCATTCATTGACTGTCACCCGTATTTTTAATCCATCAAACTGAACACAATAACCACAATTGAGTAGACGATTTGGCTTGATATGGTATTGTCCATTCCTAATTGTGCAACCTACCGAAGTAATATCAGCCATTAATATAAGACGTAAATTATGAAATAGAGATAATAAAGGTCTCCTGAAACTGAAATCACAAAGTACTACTTATTCTTTTTTAAATAGAAATATGTTATTACGATGTTCCATGCAAATATGAAATTTTCCTCATAATTATCTGTAGCACATAAAGAACTTTTGTAGGATAGATTAATGAAGCTGTACCAGGTGCGTTAAAGTCATGAAACAGAATAAACGTGTCACAAAAATTGTCATATTTTTATCTTGAAAATGACTGATTTTGGCAGATATTACAGTGAAAGGTAGCGAGTGTGAGAAAGAGAAGATAATAAGATTAAATAAAGAGTGAGAAAAGACAATAATCTCGAGAAGAAACCCAAACTATTTAATAGTTTAAGTAACACACAGACACGCAAGCAACATCACTCACAGTGACTATCAAGTAAAGTCTATTTCGATACGTCGATTTAAAAAAACCAAAAAACTTTAAGCTGTTGCAGTAGGGACAGTGTTGTTGGAATTGGCATTGTCATCGACCTTACTGCTCTGACCACTCTTCGACACGGTCAACAGTATCATGATGGAGATACAGACTTCTAAGATCCTCTGACAAGTACTGAATAGCAGCCACGGCCAAGGTCTCAGGGCTTCAGGCCGATACGACTTATCAAGCGTTGCGGATACCCAGTAGAGGTTGGAGACTGTGAGACAGATACCAATAGCTGCACTTATGAAGATGATGGTGTTGAGTTTACGCATCTTCGAATTGTCGTTGTTGTCTCGCTGGGAGGATGTTTGCGTCTGGCCCCGGGAACTAGCTGTCAGGTTGCTCTGTATCTTCCACCAAACGTAGACGAACCCGAAGAACACCAACACTCCCCAGAGGATGAAGAGCATCTGGCAAACCGTGACCGCATACTTGGTGGAGTTGTCGTAAGCTACCAAGAAGTCGGAAAAGAGGACATACCCCAAGCTGAAGCCAATGATGCTTCCTAGGACGGAGGGACGTTGGATTCGAGGTGGGGCTAATGACAAACGAGTTGTCTCCAAGAGTAGCAGTAACAGGATACTGAAAGATGAGACCAAGGATGGCCATCCCAGTGACCAAAGAACCACACCACTAGGACATTTCAGAATCTTTCTCGTTCCGTAAGGGTCGATCCCAAGAGACATTGTCCTGGCCGCGCACGCAACGAACACCAGAGAATGCAAAGCAATCCTGAGGTTGGTCAGCCGCTTTGTAAGAATTCCATCGTGGGTCCCACGCACGGAGCTACAACGCTTCCACACAAGGAAACACAACACTGAGCAGGTATATATGGCAAGAATGGCATAGGCTACGACGAAGATGATAATATGTGCCATCCAGGTGCTTCCCCAAGCCGCAAAGGCTACATCCCAGTCTGGATGTGGCGCAGGCCACCTGCACCGGGGTAGAACTGGCACCTTGATTGGGACACTCATGTTTTCAGTGTAGACTGACACTCCGTTTTCATCTTCGTTTATAGTTGTCGCCATCCTGTGAATTAAAAGAATTGAAAGAACAATTGTCCAGTTATAAATTGTGTTCAACAGATGGGGGGGGGGGGGGTAGATAAAGCGAAACAAAAATATATAAACGAGAATATGCAATCCGCAATCGGAATAAATCCTAAATAATTTTTAAAGCTCAAAGCCCAGTTACTACATGAAAACCATTGGTATTTCCTCTTTTCAAAACATTCTTAAACCATACGTTACGTTACGTTTATACTCTATCATAATTCATTTCTACGCGTTGTCCGCCATAGGCGATAAGTGTCCTCATGCCATTGATTTTAAAAGGCGCCAAACCCATGAGTATTGTTTTTTCTTCGACAAAATTTTTGTCTCCTTCTGGGCTATGTTTTTATTTTGGCTGTCTGTTTTCTTTTAATTTTTATAATGAACATTTTTATTAACAGCTTTTCAACACTTTCCCATGTGCTAAAAGAGTTTTTTATTATTTAGTTGGGGAGGTATTATTTCTTATCTTTGTCATGTGCACATCCCAATTATACAACAACGCTATATCTAGTAACTTATTTTTGTAGATGATCTTCAAATTAAAAATAACGTTTTACTTGTGCATTTGTTAAAAGGTCAAAACAAAAGCGAAAACACAAACACAAACACACAAACAAACGTACACAAACACACTTAAATGAATCTTAGATGTGGAGTATTCCTTTTAAAGTATTACTTGGTTTCTATATTTCTATACAATTTTTTTCTCGAATAATGCATTTAAAAAAGATATTAGTAAGACCAAAATAGTCGATATTTATTTACTATTTCAATAGTTAACAAGGGATGTTTTTTTTTGTTTTTTAAAGTGATAGAACTTGTAAAATGTCAGCTGGAATTAACTTGGAAGTACGCTTCCCAGTATAATCAGCCGAGACAAATACGCTTCAGGGCGAACTGTGATCAACGTAGAAAGGTTCAACCGGAATAAAAAGTCAAAGTCAAGCACAAGAAAACGTTGGTCAAATTTCGCTGCGACAATATTTTTTAAATATTTGTTTCTGTGTGGGGATGCGAATATATATATGAAAAGGGACAGTTGGCTACAACCATGACAACAATGCACTAATCTTTTCTGTAAGACTGGACAATCATCCTCCTCCCACAGCCGAGCAGCGCATTCTCAACATAAAAGTCTAAAGATTTATTTGTGTTTTTCCTTTGGGATTCAAGAGGTCTATCTGACCTTCTACAGCATTGCATCTACATTCATCGGATCAGTTCGGTAGCTGTAATACTAATGTTAAGAGCACGGTTGACAATATAAAAAAAAAGTCATAAATACAGTTATCCGTGCAAAATTTTCTTTCAATAGGCCTTTTCAAAAAGGCCATGCACAATTATGACTCGGAAGGTCAGAAAACGTCTTGGGGGCTCTGAAATCCTTTCATCGATAGGGCTATCGATTAAATTGTGTCACTGTCATTCAGCTGTTAATTTGGTTCTGCATGATAGAACGTCTAGACAAATTCAGGGTAAAAGGGGTTATTGGAAGTTCAATAATAGCTTGGTAAATGATAGAGACTATGTTTTAAAGATGAAGGAAGAAATACAGACTTTAAAGAACAAAATGTTATCTGAGATAAAAGACAAGAGAGTATTATGGGACTATATCAAAATGGAAATACGCAGGTTTACAACTAAATTTTCAAAGGAAAGGGCAAGGGAAAGGAAGGAAAAAATAGAAAAGCTAGAAAAAGAAATTGAAGACTTGGAAGAGAATCTACTATCAATCAATAATGTACATTATAAAGATATCCTTGAACAACTGAAAATTAAGAAACAACAACTAAGAGTATTTTATGACTATATTAATGAAGGTTTAAAAATACGATCAAGGGCCTCTTGGTATGAATGTGGAGAGAAGAATACAGCATTTTTTAAACAGCTCATGGAAGCAAATAGAAAGAAAAGTGTAATACAGAAATTAAACGTAAACGGAAAGATTGTTACTAAGGAAAAAGAAATTGTCGAGGGAATAAAACAGTTTTACAGTCAGTTGTATAAAAAAATAGAAGTTGTACTAGATGGAGGTTTAGAATTTTTCCCTAGTAACATGCCAAAATTGAACGAGACCTTAAGGGGTTTAGGTGAAGAAAAGATAGTAGAAAGGGAATGTATAGAAATATTAAAAAATATGAAATTAAATAAATCACCAGGAAATGATGGCTTAAGTGTAGAGTTTTATCTTAAATTTTGGCCGGTAATTGGAGATCTAATCCTTGCATCTTTTAATGAAGCCTTTAATCATGGAGAACTATCGGCCTCTCAGAGACAAGCAGTTATTACCTTGATACATAAAAAAGATAAAGATTCAGACTTTATTAAGAATTACAGACCGATTTCTCTTTTAAATGTGGATTATAAAATTTTAACAAAGATACTTTCAAAGAGATTGCAAGAAATTTTACCTGATATTGTATCTTCTGATCAACTTGGATATGTTAAGAATAGAAACATTGGAGAAGCCATAAGAATAATAGATGACATGATTTTTCATACTTCTTTTTATAAGGAAAATGCTTTTTTGATGGCCTTAGATTTTGAAAAGGCATTCGACTCTGTTTCTCATTGTTTTCTATACAAAGTCTTAAATTCATTTGGTTTTGGACCATTGTTTTGTAAATGGGTGAATATACTTTATACTAATACTGAAAGTTGTGTTATGAATGGAAACGCATCAACAGGTTATTTTAAAGTTGAAAGAGGAATTAGACAAGGAGACCCATTATCTCCATACCTGTTCATTTTATGCATTGAAATTTTAGCTCATACGATTAGAAACAATCAATTGGTAAAAGGAATTTGTTTTGGAAATACAGAAATAAAGCAAGTATTATATGCTGATGATATAACACTCTTCATCAAAGATATGAGTTCAGTTAAGGAAATAGAACACGTTTTAGAAGGTTTTTATAAAATATCAGGATTAAAGTTAAACAAGGATAAGACATATATTCTGCCCCTGGGCCCACAGGTGTCTAATAACACATTTCCGTTTGGGAAACTTGTAGATGCTGTTAAAATATTAGGTGTTTATTTTTCAGTTCATGTAGATATCAAGGAAAAAATGAATTATAAGGAAATATTGAGCAAAATTAAAAAACTACTGACGTGGTGGAAACAGCGTGACCTAACTTTAATGGGTAAAATTCAATTGATGAAAGTATATGGATACTCTAAATTGACATATGTAACATCACTAATGCCAGTTCCAGAGTGGGTATACAAAGAAATGGAAATAATATGTTTTGATTTTTTGTGGAGAGGTAAAGATAAAATTAAAAGAAGTACAATGATGTTAGACTATCAGCAGGGTGGGCTCAAAATGAAGAATTTTAGGTTGTTTGTAAAAGCACAAAGAATAATGTGGATAAAAAGGCTTGTAACAGGAACTCATGATATCAAGTGGAAACAATACTTTAAATATTTAATGAGACCGATAGGAGGTAATTTAATATTTTATTGCAATTATTGGAGAGATACAGTGAAACTTATGTTACCTTCCTTTTATCAGAATCTTCTGAAAGCATGGATAGATATGAAAGAATATGTTAAAACAGAAGAGAGATACAAAGGGAATGAAATATTGTATAATAATAATTTTATTCAACTAGAAGGTCAAACCTTATTTGAGGAAACTTTGTTTTTGAAAAATATATATCGAATTCATCACATTTGTGAAGAAAATGGAGAATTGAAACCTGAAGCTCATTTTATAATGTTAGGTTTGAGCAGAGTGGAAATTGATAAAGTAAAACAAATTTATAACGTAGCCCCTTATGAATGGAAACAGAATGTTCAACCTTTAAGAAAAGCAATTCACACTGGCTTTAGTTTAGAATTTATTTTTTCAAAGAAAGTGTTTACATTTGAAGATTTAACTGCAAAAATGGTATATAAGAGTCAAATTAAAAAGAATGTAGAAACAAACTCGGCAGGCGGCAATTTAATGACACTTTACAATATTCCAAGAAAAGAAGTAGAAAAGATATATGTTCAACCAAGGATGTGTACCTTAAGTAGTAAACTGCGAGAATTTCAGTTCAAATTATTGCATAATATTTTATATACAAATCATCATTTACATAGATTCAGGTTCCATGAAAATGGTTTGTGCTCATTTTGCAAAAATTTTGAAGAAACTTATCAACATATATTCTTTGAATGTAATACAATAAAGGAAGTCTGGGGGAAATGTGGAGATAGACTTAATTTACCAATTTTGAAGAAATTATCCTGGAAAGAAATTCATATAGGAATAGATGACACTACATTTAAAACAGAGCAATTATTAAACCACATTTTAATTTTGATTAAATATATGATTTTCCACAGTAGAGAGAAGGGAAACCCTCCAAAAGCAAAAGAAATAGAATATAGATTGTTGGAAAATAGAAATGAAGAGAAAAAACTTTCAATGGAAAGAGACACACTTTCAATTCATTTAAGGAAATGGGAAGCTTTGGAAAGTTTAGAATAAATGTTTTCAGTTTTTTTTTTTTTTTTTTTTTTTGTTGTTGCTCGTTTTATGTTAGCGTGTGTTTTGTATACTGTTGTACATGTTATGTGTTTAAATGTTGTGTGGGGTGGGGGGGTAGTAGGTGTTTTGTAGCTTTTTCCCTTTTTTATATATATAATTTTTTTTTTTTTGTCTCCAAAGGAAAATGAAGAGGTGTAACTTTTGTATGTAAATGTAAAAGATCATTGGTAAATTTATAAAGAACTATGTTAAATTATTTTGTTATTTTGTATCCAATGTATTATGTTATAAATGTACAATTTTCTTTGAGAGAAACGAATAAAAACCTATGAAAACAAAAAAGTATTGTCAGCATGATTAGCTTGGTATGGATAATCTCTTCAACAAGAAGAAAAAAAAATCACCTTGCGATGTCAGAAAGCCAAAATCCGTAGCTCAATTACTGGAATTAACCGTGTTGTTTGACATTTTCTTTTCTTACCCACCAAAGC